CCCATAGTACAAGGAACTTGGCTGCTTGAGCTACATCACCCAGAAGCCTCTTTAGTTTTAGACGTATCATCTGTGGGCAAAGGTGCATGTATTTCTGGAAATCTTCTCTTAGGAAAAATGTATCTTTAAAAAATGAGTACTAGGAGGAAGAGAGGTATGCCAAAAAACAAAAACAAAAACAAAAACAAAAACAAAAAAAACAAAAGAAGGAAGAGTATCTAATACCTAGATGTTTCTCACAGTATTATTTTTATTACAAAAAAATTAAAACAACTTAAATGCCAAGGAAAATAATGGTGAAGCAAATTACTGTATTCAGACTTTGGAATACTATATAGAAATAATAATGATGTTCAGGGAAAATGCTCGTCTGTGTGTAACTCTATGTATACTGTAGGTACATAAATCAACATCATCGTATTTGTGATAGTAGCAAATACATCAAAAATTCATTAATTTTGGTAAATAATGTATTTAGAGCACAGTGTCTAGACACTGTCAATACAATGTCCATGAAAGCAGAGCTTTTCTGTATTCTTTTCCATGTTCTCAAACCTTAAATAGTGCCTGACATATTTTAGGATCTCAATAAATATTTATTAAGTTATTTAATTGAGTATGACAGCATTTGAGGTAGTTTTTGTCTCTAATTTTCTTTAAAATGCTTTATCATAGACAATAAGATATAATTGTGTGTATGTTAGTTTTTATATATAACCCAAAGACATTTAGTCAACAATTAAGGTATCCTAATTAGAAATACTCATTCCAGAGGTGATTAGTTAATATTGAAAGACACTGATTATGAATCTAGACTTCAGAGGTGTCTATACCAGTGTTTCAGATATCAATGTATGATTTATCATTATTGAGTTCATTAACATAGGGACATTTTGTGGACATTTCTTGCTGTTGAAATGAGTGATATTCTAAATATGTTGACTAGCTAGGAGTTATTTTATACATACCTACAAACTTGCTTGAGTGGCATATTTGAATCTGGAAAGCCCAATCATCTAATGCCTTTGGATCAATACTTTAGATTTCATTATCCCTTCCAACTATGATAGCTGATCCTTCCCTTGGAATATCGTTAACATCATAGTCTCTGAGTGACACTTCCAAGAAAGCATCTGTGGGATTATGTACAGATAAAGAACTGGCACCCCTGATTGCCACGGGATGCTTGTATGTTTGGCAGAAATCAGTCTGAGCCTTGCCTTTACTGCTGTGGGTCCCCCGACAGAGAAGTAGCAGGAGAGGAGTACTAACTATTGCAGGTCACTGCTATTCACCAAAAAGAACCTGGTAATTGTCAAGACCAGTATTCGATTAGGTCCAGCAGGGATTGACAAATACCATTGTTATCCCCATTTTATAATGAGAAATCTAAGGATTACAGAAATAAGTAATTTATCAATGTGATAAAAACTAGATAGAGAAAGAACTGGAATGGAAATCTGAGTGTCATTCTAATATCCCTTTCTGTGTACTTAGAGCAGGTAAAAAAAAAAAAAAAAAGATACTAAAATGTATTATTTTAACCATGGGAGAAAAAAAAAACCGCCAAAGCAAAAATTGTTCATTATGAAAAAAATAAAATAAAAATGACTAATAGTCTGTGGGATCATGATAGTCTGTTTCTCTTCCTACTTTTCTGTACTAGACAAATTTCTGCATCTAGGCCTGTATACATTTATAAATAAAAAAAACTCCAGAACGTTATTTGATTTCTTTTTTAAATATTTCTGGCTAAAGCAAACTGTTCTCTGAATGTTTCTCAAAATAGGATATGTAGAGATAAAAATACCTTCATAGGCCAAACAAAGTTCTTCATGTGTCATATTCCTAAAATATGTTTATGCTGTGGATACAGAAGTTTGACATCCAAAGAATCTCAGCCAATGCATTATATTCCTATTATGTGTATTTTTAAATTTTCTATAATCTATTTTGTAACAACAGAATATTGGTTTTATTGACTAAAATAAAGTGTTATCATTATTTCAAAGCCACATCAGAAGAAATGTTGAAAAGGAATAGAAATATATCAAATTTTTAATGTTCTACTTTAACTTTCCTTTTGCATAGTTTATGTGAATTTAATAATAAAATGCATTGCAAACTTTGCGAAGCATAGCCTGGATGAAAGAGGAGGTTGTACTTATGTTTCCTTGTTAATAATGGGAGAGCTCTAGTATGCTTCACTTGTATTCTGTCTTGAGTTTTTCAAGCTGATGAATTGGAATATGATAAATACCTATATGACTCACTCTATAGATGAACAACTTTAGTATAGTGATACTCATTTTCTGAAATTGTTTTCAGTAGAGCAGTTGTTCACTGAGTTTTGTATTAAGTTACCTGTCAATGTGTAAGATATTTTAAAATGTTGGTTTCTCATGCTGCTAAGAAAAAAAGTAAGCCAATTTGTTGGAAGGATTTTGTTTGTAAAGTAAGAGGTGGCAGGATAACAAACTCTTTGCCTTTCTGATTCTTCTATCTACACCTACATATGTGTATAACTTTTATGTTTAAGTAATATTTTTGATCGTTTTTACTTATTTCAATAAGTATAATGCCTAAATTTTGAGACATATTCTGATCTTGGTAACAAAAAACAAAACTAACAAGGTTATGCCAATTGCTAGAATTGCACTGTACTATCCAGGCGGTGTCATCTGGATTATTTCTATTTCTTCAATACAAAAGTAAAACAGTACACTGATGTGTTATTGACCTAATATATTAACAGGTGTATGAAGCCTTGTGTGTTTGTGATGATGTAGGGGTGGGCACTGGAGCAGATCATTTAAAGCTGACAGAGAAATGGATAAAATTTCTTTGAGCACTGCCAAGCAGAGACTGTAACCTCAGTGGTGTTCCAACTGACTGATGAAGAGGGGAGGTCTGGCTAAGATGGATCACTGATCTCCACCAGAGGTTAGATTCCAAAGATATTTTTTTTTTCTTTTAACTCATCTGTATTTGTTACAACTTTAAACAGAATGTGACTCGAGCACTACATTTCCATCCACATGACTGGCTCTGAGTTATTTTTGAACAGCTTATGATATGCTTAGGCAGGCTAATTACTGCTCCTCCAAACAATACTTTTCTTTGGAAAACAAGCCCTATGGAGAGTTCCATCAAGTTGCTTCAGTTTAACCTATTTCTAGAGGACTAGTACATGCAGAATTGGCAACTACAGGGGATGAAAAGCTCAGAAAGTAGATCCTACAAGATATAACAAATACTTTTCTTCTAAATATCAAGGTATAGCTTGGGAACACTTCGATAACAAGATTTGGTCTACTAAGGAATCTGGCTTGAGCGTTAAACACTTTAGACCACAAAGTTAACATGTTACATACATCTTACAACACACATTACCTCGATCTGTTAATGTAAGCCAATGTGAAACTAAAAAAGCATTACTAGCTCTGCTTTACTGCCTAAAGTATCACAGCATCGCTTAGTCGACAGGAATCTTTATCTTCCCCTTAAAGTAGTTGTTGTCATGCCATACAGACTTTTTAATGTTAACAAAAATAGAGAAAAACATGAGGCCCTTTATGTTCCTTGTTAGTTGTATTCCTAGGTATTTTATTCTCTTTGTAGCAATTGCGAATGGAAGTTCGTTCTTGATTTGGCTCTCTTTAAGTCTGTTATTGGTGTATAAGAATGCATGTGATTTTTGCACATTGATTTTGTATCCTGAGACTTTGCTGAAGTTGCTTATCAGTTTCAGGAGCTTTTGGGCTGAGACAATGGGGTCTTCTAGATATACAATCATGTCGTCTGCAAATAGAGGCAATTTGATTTCCTCCTTTCCTATTTGAATACGCTTTATTTCTTTTACTTGCCTGATTGCTCTGGCTAGAACTTCTAGTACTATATTGAATAAAAGTGGTGAGAGAGGGCAACCTTGTCTAGTGCCGGATTTCAAAGGGAATGCTTCCAGTTTTTGCCCGTTCAGTATGATATTGGCTGTTGGTTTGTTGTAAATAGCTTTTATTATTTTGAGATACGTTCCATCAATACCTAGCTTATTGAGGGTTTTTAGCATAAAGGGCTGTTGAATTTTGTCAAAGGCCTTCTCTGCATCAATTGAGATAATCATGTGGTTTTTGTCTTTGTTTCTGTTTACGTGGTGAATTACGTTTATAGGCTTGCGTACGTTGAACCAGCCTTGCATCCCTGGGATGAAGCCTGCTTGATCATGGTGGATAAGCTTTTTGATGTGCTGTTGCAATCGGCTTGTCAGTATTTTATTGAAGATTTTTGTATCTATGTTCATCATGGATATTGGCTTGAAGATATTTTTTTAAGCCACCTGTTCTAGAACATAGAAATACAAGCCAGGGGGAAGGCAGTCTTTGGTCTAAGTGAAAAATATGTACTGGACTGCCTAGGATACTAAACAGTTTTTCATCATTAAATAGAGCATCTAGTTTAGAAACTCTTCCATATAAAGCAAACATTATCTTCTCAATATTGTCATAGAACACTTAGGGTACATTAAAAGGCTGCCTTAATACTTTTTTAATGTAAAAACAAACAGGGACTTTTATTTTATAGTATAAGTTTTTATATTATAATGAAATTTGGCTAATTTTTGCTTAAATAATTATAGAAAAAAGTCATGGTCTTTTATTTTTTTAATTTTTGTTGGTACATAGTAAATGTTCCTATTTATGAGGTCCATGAGATGTTTTGATATAGTCATACAGTGCATACTAATCACATCATGTAAAATGTGGGCATCCGTCTCCTCAAGCATTTATCTTTTGTGCTACAAACAATCCAATTATACGCTTAGTGATTTCAAAATGTACAATTAAATTATTATTGGCTATAGTCACCCTGCCGTGCTATCAAACACTAGGTCTTATTCATTCTTTCTAACTATATTTTGCACCCATTGACCAACCCCGCCTCACCCCCAACCCCGCACTACTCTTTCCAGCCTCTGGTAACCACCTTCGCAGGAGTTCAATTGTTTTGATTACAGGTGTGAGCCACCGCGCCTGGCCCGTGGTTATTTTATATGCAAGTGATGTAATTTTACAGAATCAGCACAAACCTATAGAATGACATGTTTAGAATGTTTGATGCAAACATTGAAATGAACAAAGAAAAAAAGCCAATACACAAAAATCTGAGTGAGGAATGATGCAAATTCCAACTATTGACTGTGTTTAGAGAGATGGCATTTTTGAAAACATTATACAGATATATTTCAATTCTAGGCAACAGTAATTGCTTATTCTGGAGAACTAAGATTGCTTCTATTTGACCTAAAGCTCTTCTCTCATTAAAGCTGTAGCAATCTTAACTTTAGGAAGAATATGGAAAATCCAAAGAACAAAAAATTAATTGATTTTTAGAGTATAGAGTAATTTTTAAATATAATTATATAATTTTATATAATATTTAAGGAAAAGGGTAGATTTTTAAAATTTAAATGTATTTTTAAGATTAAAAATGCATATATAAGTATTTATAGGTTTTATATTCACATGGTTCAAAATCCAAGAAGTATAAAAGAATATCTGGTAAAAATTCTCCTTTCCTCTTCTGAACCTTATTCACCTACTTTTCTGCACAGACAACCAATGTTATTGGTTTGGGTGTAATTCTACAGATATATCTCAGGGATCTGACAAATCAGTCCATAACGAGCCACTTCACTATTTTTTATGCATTCATAATATTCTTTTATATGAATTTACTATAATTTGTATTTAATCCCATGTTGATGAGCATTTGGTTTATCCAATCTTTTACTATTACAAATGGTCCTGCAGTGAATAACCTCATAAAAAGGCCATTTTGTGAGAGCATGATTTTACTTGTAGTATAAATTCCTAAAGTTGGGCTTGCTGTTCAAGGCCATGTATATTTAAAATTTGTTAAATATTACCCTCTATAGAGGCGGCACTAATATACATTCCCAACTGGAAATACATCAGAATTCCTCAAACTAGACTTTTTAGGGTCTGTTAAAATTCTGGAAAGGAGAGGGGTGAGACAATGGAAATATCACTATCAGTCAAACAGAGTATCACTTGCCTGGTCATTTTCTGCAGAGAAGACTAGTCTCCAGAGAATTCCGTTTGACATGGCTCTGCATTCCACATGACATGGTGGCAGAGGCCACCATGAGAGTGAGAGGCTCCTGGGCTGTGGGTTTGAGGACAGCTTAGAAGGGTGAAAGAAGCACCTGAGAGTTTCTGGGCCTACACAGGGCTTGGAAATGCTGAGGGAGCAGTGGAAGAGAAGAAAACTGGGTTTAGGACCAGGAGCCACAGAGGGCAGAGACCTTGAATCAGCAGGGGCAACCAAATCCGATATTATTAATAATAAGTTCTTACCCACACGACCAGATATGACCTTACAGATAGCTGTGTAGAATGTCTTTTCATAAGCCAAGCAAGGGAGAGAGAGAGAGAGGCTGTAGCAGGTTGAGACACCCTGGCCAGAAACCAACTGGGACTGACATTCATCCCCTCCCTAATGTCAGTAAAGTATATAAACTTGTATCATACCTGGAGGTAGAAGAAGGACCCTGTGACCTCTTGCTTCACCATCATCTCCTCTTGGATATGTTTTTTCCCCCAGTTTGTCCAATTCCTTTACCTTGGATCTTTTATTTTTCGGTTGCCTTAGGTAATTTATTCCTAGTTGCAAACTACAAGATCTTATGTAAATATAAGCATCTAATGTAAACTAATAGAAACCTAAAGAGACTCATAAAAAGTGGGGAAACTCACATGAACTCCCAGGAACTAGGCCGGGATATAAAACCAGCAGCAGTGCACCCAGCCAAAACGTCCAGTAGAAACCACAGTCACCATAGCTCCTCAGTAGATTCCTGATGCTGGGCAGAGGAGGTGAGAAACTCTGCCACAGCTATTCCAGAAGAACCAGGGGCCTCTGCCTCCACACCTGCTCATCTGGAAATACTTCTCCTTGTGACTGCCAGCTGCCTTTGTGGCTCACTTTCACACTCAACTCACACAAGACTTGATGGGACCAGGCCACATGTGGAGCTTTACTTGGAAACGTGGCTGGGAAATGACTTTGTTAGGTTTTTGGTCTATGGTACAAGAGGACTAACATAATATGTGTCAGAATGGATGTTGCATGAACCAAATGAGAGCATCTGCTTCACCCCGTGTTTCAGCTGTGTCCTTTACATTGAAGAGTGTCACATGCATATGTGCCCAGTCTCCGATCTATATTTTCAACTTCCTGCTAGACAGAGAAAATGACTTGCTCAGAGTGTGGAAGCAACACCTCTTTTGAAATAACATAATTTTTTTCCTTTTTTTTTTAAGTGATTCTTTCTAAACAAGCCTTGTCTTCTATATTTAGCATCCTTAGCTGAGATCCCTAGATACATGTTCTCACCACCATGTCTTGAGATTTTATTTTGAACAGGTCTTCTGGATGTGCAGTCTTTCTACTGAATACCTCAGTGGCATGATTATTATGTTTCAGCTGCAAATTAGTGAAAGAATAAAAAAAATTTTTAAGACACTTTGATTCTGAACCAGCAAATGAAACACAAGATGATTAACTATCCAGTGCTCTCCTTCCCACTAAACACAGATGTATGTCTCGCTGTGTTTTTTCTGTGAAGGATTTACAACTTGGAAGTCTCTTGATAACACACACAGCAGCGACTGTCACCTGATCAGATTACTTTTCTAGAATACCCTGTTCACAGTCCTGTAAGTCATTTCTTGGTTTACCATGTAACTTTGCTTCTTGTTCTGTTTCCTCACTCTTTTCATTGATAAGTGTACAAACGTCCCTTATATCTATCATTTACTGTTCTGCTGTCTTATCTGGTACAAACAAGAGTATCTGCCTCACCCTACATTTTAACAGTGAACTTTAGATAGTAGAGTTCCGCATTTACATGTATCTGAGCCTCAAATCTGCGTTTTCAGCTTCCTGCTTCTGATTTTCATTCAGTGGTTCAGTTGCTTCAAATTAATTTTTACACACACATTTTTTATACACAAAAGGGGGGAAGTGAACACGTGGCTACAGTAAAAGTAATCTTGTATGATTGGTGAGTAAACGTGAGCTTTGCTCGTGTCCTGAGGGTTAGACTATAGATTTCCAGAGTCAGTTTGCCGAAAAACACGATTAAGAGAACCAGCAGGAAAGGTTTTCATCTGAGCATATGTGGAAATGCCTTTAGATGCAAGAAATGTAGCAGCTTGTGTTAGTGAATGCTATGAGTATCTTTGTCTCTTAGGAGACAGTAGTGTATTTTAAAACACCAAATAGGGCTAAATCAGAGGTTTAGGGGACACAAAGTAAAGGCTAGTAGTGGTGATTATAAAAGGTTGACTTTTCAGAAAAGAAAAGAAAACATTTTGTATCTTTTCTTACTTAAAAGAAAACATTTCGTATCTTTTCTTACTGACTGTAGTTTTGGAAAGCTTATTTAAACAACTCCATTGGCATTTTGCCTGTATCTGAAATAATACTTTATGAAACATGGAGGCACTCCCTTTTAAAAGTCTTCTTGGCTAAAATGTGCTTCTGTTTTGTCTATTTAGTAAACTTTGTAAGAAATTATTTAAGGCTTTGGGGCATTAGGAATGGTGCATTATTTCATTTTCATGAAACAAGTCTTTTAAAAGAATAGACCTTGAGTAACGACCACTTTTTTTTTATAAGTGGAAATGCCCCTTTCTCCTTATGCATAGAAGTTTGCTGTTTAAAGCTACAAGGGTGAATTATTTTATTTATTTATTTTCACTAGGAATTGCTCCTTCAAGAGCCAATATTGATTCTTTTGTTAGGCAGAAAGTCATTTTGAAAAAATTTGTTCCTTCTTTTTCTTTAAGAGGAGCATTTTAAATGCATGCCCCTGTACTTTCTGATAAATCACTGTCTACTTAATTCTCCACGTCATTTCATACTTTTTGTGTGTGTGGTAATGATGAGATAGAAAAGGAATTTGAAGATTACTCTTGTGTCAAATTTTATGATTTTTTCCTAAGAGTTTTGGGTAAAGATATTTTGCACAAAACAGTATAGCTGTGAATAAATAAGTTGTAAAAGAGATTTTCAGTTGAAGGCTTTTCACTTAATGAAACAATGGCATCCTGTATCTATCTTGTATTTACTTAGGAATAATAGAAAACAATATTTCTCTCTAACACATAAGAGAACTTTATATTGACTATAATAAAATGATTATGCATTTAATTATAAATGTTTACTTCATACACTGAATAATTATATATTTCCAAAGTTATTAACTTTCAGCCCCATTTAGAGGGGAGAAACAGATTTAGGGTGCATCTCCTGCACCTACCCATAACGTTCTCCTCTCTAACCCATACTTTGTAAGTGGTCTTCGCTAGCTTAATGGTACACATATGGTGACATCTCTAATTTTTAAAAATGCAATCACTTGTACTCCTCATATAATAGATTTCCAAAAGGCTCATTATCCTTTTCTGTTCCTCAAATCTATCAAGAACTGGCTTACTCAATTCAAGAAAGCCAATCTTGCTTCCAAATGACTCAAGGAAAGGCAACGGTAGAAACCCATCAATCCATTAAGCAGTTGGCCCCAATTTGAAGATACCATTGCTTCTGGTGTTACCACACTGTGTCGCTGTTAAAACTAGTTATATGCAACGTAATATATCCTTGTCCACTCCTACAACAATGCTTGTGTTAATCAGACCCATGACTAGACAGAATTGTATCATTTTGGACTTCCAAGGTTAAAATTATGTTATTTTTACTTTGAAGTAAAAGCTATTGGTATCCTATTTTCCTTTTAACAAGGCTGGTGCACCTACCCCACAGCTGTTATGAGTATTGATGGCTAAGCTCTCACAGCCTTAGTTTTCTTTAAGTACTGACTTTGTGAAAACAGGAGCTTCTTGTTTGGGAAGTTATACTTGCACTTTTCAACTCAGGAAAAACCCACAGTAATCACTGGCCGATATTAGAATGAGGAAAGCTAGCCCCCTTTCCTCAAGATGAGCCAATTCTGAAGCTGGCACAGAGCCTGGAACATAATAGAGGTTCAGTAATCACATTTTGAATGATTGAATAAATAGGTAGACACCTGAATATACATTATGGTACATGCAAAGCAAATATTTTCTTTTTTGATCTCTAAGTTGTAAATCATGGTAAAAAAGATTTTCCCACTCAAAACGAATAAAGGATTTTGCTCATGGCTTTTTCAAGTACTTATTAAGATTTCTCTTCTTATGGTCAATACACACTTGAGTTTTTCACTATTTTGGCTAACATAGGTCCACCACCTTAGCTTTATATTTAGACTGCTGTGACCTCCAAATTTGGAGCCAGCTTATGTACAACATAAATTGACAGATTTTTAATTTTTTTTTACTGGAGGTAAAATGAGAGCACTAGTGGCTAGCGGCAGATATGGTTTGTCATATCACAACTCCTCCAGAAAAGAATAGAATTTCAGTGAAGATCAATTTGAGCCCAAAATAATCCCAATTTTAAGAAGGGGAGGGAGGCCAAAGTAGGAACTTTTTAGGTAGAGGGAATAGCATTATATTGGCTCTGAGTTGGGGAGGAGCTACAGATTGAGAGCCTGAAGAAGGCCGTGGCAATTAGTGGAGATGATAAGAAGCTCCAGATGAAATGTGTAAAACAAGCAGGAGTCAAACTATACAAAGCCAAAGTCTGGAGCTTACACGAGTGTATTTGAATCTTGTAAAGATCATTCCTGCTGTTTTGCAAAGAATGAACTAGAGCAAGAAGGAGTAGTAAAAGGTAACTGAGATTTGGAGCGTGAGCTGGCCATAAAAACAAAGACAAGAGAAGAAGCAGTCTAAGAGGAGAGTGGTAAGTACATTTTGGGGCGCATGATGTTTGTGGGGTCTGTGAAATGTCCAGGCAACTTGAAATGTGTGGCTAGAATTCAGAAGAAGACAGAAATTTGGAGCCACCTGATAGATATTATCCTATGCTAGCAATGAGGTGGAATAAGTTCCACCAAAGAGAGAACATAGAGAAAAGTCTTTACACATACTCTTTGGAATCTTTTGTAAGCAATTGTAGATTGGGGTTTCTGTGCCATTCCTTATATGAATCAGTGATAATGTCTGAATACTTACTTTTCAGCTTTCCAATTTAAACAGAAGGATAAAATGATTGTTTTAGGGTGCTTGCAGTTTGCAACATGATTAGAAATTAAATAGTATATTTATGAAATGTGAATCTTTTGAGAAATGCAGAAAGTAGGTCAGATAAAATAAATATTGTACAAATAAGCACATACAATAGGCAATTCCAAAGCATCCTGACTTTGTATAGCAAGCCATCAACCCTCTAATACTTTTGGCAAGAAGAGAGGAGGCTAGGGCCAAATGAAAATTGTAAAGAACAGATGGCTGTCCTCAGGTGACAAATGTTTAACATGAGGCATACAGGAGTTTCCCAGGAGGTTGGAAAGACCTTAATGACTGAAAATTTATTTTCACTTTCTCTGCTTCAATGAAAGGGAGTACAAACTTCCCAGCCTCCTCAGGCAGTTTATTTTTATAGCTATGCCTTTGAAGACAAAATATTGATCTGCGCTATCTTGACAAGGTGGAAGAGGGCTGCAAGGCAGAGTCACCAAACTTTCTCTGTTCAGGTGGCCCCCAGTGTTTATTGTTCCACAGCATCCCAGGCCAAACAAAATATCTGACACTTCAGTACAGTAAATAGGTGCAAACAACTTTTAAAAAGTATTTATGTTCTAGCAAATTATTAATAGTAGCTGCTTAAAAATAATACATGCAAATTTAAAGAGAAAATATTGTATGTCATTCTTGAATAAACACAATTGCTTCCTAAAGAGAAGCATGGACTCATTGGACGCTGCACAGCTTCTCAAACCTCAGAGTCAATTTGGACACCACTACCCTCACTTCCTGTTTCATATTCCTTTTTGTGCAGTCCTTGCTTTTTATTACATCATCTGTGAAAAAAACCCAGCTTCTAAAAGATATGATGGTATGCGGAGGAATGGTGTGCAGTCTGTGAATTACCTTCAGCTTGTAATCAATTCATGGAACATTTGACAGGTGCTAAAGACCACTGTGCTTCCCTTAAAAATATAAAGCATCTCACAGTCCTCTCTATGGATTTTCTGCATCACCTTGAGGTGCTTTGGGACACAGTTGGGGAGCTGAAGGTTTATAGAGTTTGTGGGTGATCAGAAAACAAAATGGGATCAGGGAACAGACAAACATTTAGGGGATTATCTCTTTGACTAACCATTCGAATTCCTCACTATAAAAACCTAAGTTTCATTGAGGTCTTAAGAGGCCTTATTATTTGCTCCCAGTTATGCATCAACACACGTTTGCATGATTTCTTTTCTAAATAATGGAATTGGTTTTCAGAATAAAGCTATAACCTTTTATCCCAAGATACCATCAATTTCTTGAGTTAAAAAAAAGGTCAGGCTATGTTACTACTTCAGTGGGCAGAATTCCAAAATCATATAGGTCTGACAAGGTGTAATTTGTTTTCCTCTTGGAGTATATTGAACTGTTTCTTTGACACTGTGTTAAAGGACACAGTGTCAGAGCAATTATCTATTAGAGGGGACAGGAAATGACTGCATTTAATCACTAGCAAGCCTAGATATTTTATTAGACAAATGAAATATTAGGTTCCTACATCACCTTAATTGTGCCCCAAATTGGTCTCAAAATTAAATTCTTGTTTCCTGTCTCTTACTGCTTAACTTGCTTTTTTATTTTTTTACTGCTATTACAACATATTCATTGTAAGTTATAATTTTTCAGCTGTCTATAGTAAAATAACCATTGAGTAGAACAAGATTACCTTTAGCTCCTAGGACAATTATGAAGAAAACTTATCTCTCTTTTCACATTTTTCTCAGAATCAATCTGATTCTAGAATGTGTCATCTGTGAAAGGAAGAAGAAAAAAATTACAGTACTTTTTTTTCTAGTGTTTATTGTGTGCTATGTAGTTTACCAGCCTTAATGAATTTGGAGTTCACAAAAACTCTGTGAGTAGATAGAACAGTCTTTTTTCTTTTCTTACTGATGAGTAAAACGCTCCTCAGAATTAGTAAGTGTTAGAGTAGGAATATAAACACTGCCATCCATGTTCTTTTTACTACATTCTATCTTCCCTCTCTAGGACACTAGGACAATGCAACCAGACAATGCAGAGCCCACATCTCGTCTGTGTCCATCCATTTCAGTATCAAAAACAGGACCAAGCCAAGTTAGAGTTAGCGTTAGGGCCTTCGATGGGGAATGTTCCACCAGCTAATGTGCAGAGAAATCGTTCATGGTGTGTTTCCTTAGATTCCTGAGTTGAGATCATGAGGCTTACAAACTTTTAAAAACTTTGCCAAGAAGTCCAAAGAAACATGGTCCAAAGAAACATGGTCCAAAGAAACATTGGTACTAGGAGAGACCACAGAGATTAGTTTAATTCCATGTTATAGATAAGGAAAGAAGTACCAGAGTAGTTTAGTCACTATATCAAATTGGTGAGGAGCTGCGTTAGAACCAAGGTCACCTGACACCAAATCTAGAGTTCTTTCTACTATGTCATGAAGCCTTTTTTCCATCATGTGTTTTTTTCTTAATTAAACAACACAGCAACGTATATTCATTATAGAAACTTCTCTTAAGCCTTCTGCTAAATGTCTAACCACATATATTCATATACATTTTATTATTTTAATTTTTAAGGGTAGTATATATATTTATGGGGTACATGAAATAATTTAATACAGGCATACCATATGTAATCATCACATCTGAGTAAATGGAGTATCCACCTCAAGCATTTATCATTTATCTGTGTTACAAACATTCTAATTCTATTTTAAAATTATTTTAAAATGTACAATAAATTATCATTTACTTAATCTGTTGTGCTATCAAATACTAGTTCTTTTTATTTTATCTAACTATATTTTTGCACTCCTTAACAAATCCCACTTCCTGTCCAATTATCCTTCCTAGCCTCTGGTAACCATTGTTCTACTTTATCTCCCTGAGTGCAATGTTTTAAATTTTAGCTTCCACAGTAAGTGAGAACACACAAAATATGTGTTTCTGGGCCTGGCTTATTTTATTTAACATAATATCCTCCAGTTCCATCCATGTTGTTGCAAATGACTGGATCTCATTTTTTCATGGCAGAATAATACTCCATTGGGAATATGTTTATGTGCCATTTTTTCTTTATCCATTCATCTGTTGATGAATACTTAAGTTGCTTTCAAATCTTGGCTGTTGTTAATGGTGCTGCAATAAACACAGGAGTGCAGATATCTCTTTGATATACTGATGTCCTTTATTTTGGGTATATACCTAGCAGTGGGCTTGATGAATCATATGGTAGTTCTATCTTTAGTTTTTGGAGAAACCTCCATACTATTTTCTATACTGGCTGTACTAATTTACATTTCACCAACAGTGTGTAAGGGGTCCCTTTTCTCTACATCTTCATGAGCATTTAATATTGGCTGTCTTTTCAATAAAACCAGTTTTAACTGTGGTGTGGTGAGGTGCTTTCTCATTGTAGTTTTCATTTGGATTTTTCCAGTGATCAATGATGTTGAGCACATTTTCCTGTATCTGCCATTTGTAAGTCTTTTGCGAAGTGTCTGTTCAGATTTTTGCCCATTTTTAAATTAGATTATTAGATTTTTTCCTGCAGAGTTGTTTGAGCTCCTTGTATATTCTGGTTATTAATTCCTTGTTAGATAGTTCAAAAATGTTTTCTCCCATTCTTCAGATTATCTCTTTACTTTTATATCATTTCCTATGTGGTGCAGAAACTTATGAACTTGATATGATCCCATTTGTCTGTTTTTGCTTTGGTTACCTGTTCTTGTGGGGGATTATAGAATAAACCTTTGACCAGACCAATTTCTGGGAGACTTCCCCAGTGTTTTGTTTTTTTGGTAGTTTCAGAGTTTAAGATCTTATATCTAAGCCATTAATCCATTTTTATTTGATTTTTGTATTTGATGAGAGAAAGGAGTCTATTGTTATTCTGCATATGCATATCAGTTTTTAAAACACCATTTATTGAAGAGACTATTCTTTCCCCAATGTATGTTCTTGACATCATTCTCTAAAATGAATTCATTGTAGGTGTATAAATTTATTTCTGTGTTCTCTATTCTGTTCCACTGGCTTATGTGTCTGTTTTTGTGCCAGGGCCATGTTGGTTTTGTTATTATAGCTCTGTATTATAATTTGAAGTCAAGTAATATGATTACTCCAGTTTTGATCTATTTGCTCAGGATAGCTCTGGCTGTTCTGTGTTTTTTGTGGTTCCATATACAGTTTAGGATTACTTTCTCTATTTCTGTGAAGAATGTCATTGGAATTTTTATAGAGATTGCATTGCATCTCTAGATTGCTTTGGGTAGCATAGGCATTTTAACAACATTGATTTTTGCAATTCATGAACATAAAATATCTTTCCATTTTTGTTGTCCTCTTCAATTTATTGCATCAAGGTTTCTAGTTTTTGTTGTAGAGTTTTTTTTTTTTTTTTTTTTTAGTTATTCCATTAGGTTTATTCCTAGGTATTTTATTTGTAGCTATTATAAATGGGATTACTTTCTTGATTTCTTTGTCAGATTGTTTGCTGTTGGCATATAGAAATGCTACTTATTTTTGTATGTTGATTTTGTATCCTGAAACTTTACTGAAGCTATCTATGATTTCTAATAGTTTTTGGTGAAGTCTTTAGATTTTTTCAAATATAAGATAATATAATCTGCAAACAAGAATAATTTGAATTATTCCTTTTTGTTTTGGATGCCCTTTCTTTCTTTTTTCTGATTGCTTTAGTTAGGGCTTCCAGTACAATTTTAAATGACATTGGCGAGGGTGGATATCCTTGTTATGTTCAAGATATTAGAGGAAAGGCTTTCGGTTTTTTCCTCATTCAGTATTATACTAGTTGTGAATCTCTCATGTATAGCTTTTGTTATGTTGAGGTATGCTTCTTCTATACTAAGTGTTTTGGTATTGGGGTAATACTGCCTTCATAGAATGAGTTTAGAAGTATTCTCCCATCTTCTATATTTCAGAATAGTTGAAGTAGGGTTGATATTAGGTTTTTTTTGTTTGTTTTTTTTAAATGGTTGGTAAAATTCAACAGTGAAGCCATTGGGTCCCAGGCTTTTCTTTGCTGGGAGACTATTTTATTATTACTTAGCTGTCATTACTTATTATTGGCCTATTCAGATTTTGGGTTTCTTCATGGTTCAACCTTGGTAGGTTGTATGTGTCTAGGGGTTTAGCCATTTATTCTAGGCTTTCCAATTTATTGGCATTTAGTTACTCATAGTAGACTCTAATAATCCTTTGAATTTCTCTGCTATCATTTGTAATATATCCTTTTTTAAGAAAAAAAAAAATCTCTGATGTTATTTCTTTGAGTCTTCTCTCTTTTTTCTTAGCCTGCCTGTAGCTTTGCGGTATTTGTTCTCTTTTCGAAGCTCCAGCTTTTTGTTTCATTAATCTTTTGTATTGTTTCCTCGTTTCAATCCACTTGTTTCTACTCTGATCTTGATTATTTCTTCTCCTACTTTTGGGTTTGGTTTGCTGTTGCTTTTCTAGTTAAGATGCGTCATTATAAATATATTTTTGAGGCTTTTCCTTCTTTTTAATGTAGGCACTAATAGCTATAAACTTCTCTCTGAGTGTAAGTTTTGCTGTGTCCCATAGCTTTTAATGTGTTGTGTTTGCATTTTCATTTGTTTCAAAACATTTTAACATTTTCTTTTTAATTTCTCCATTGTCCTACTGGTCATTTGGGAGTGTGTTTTTCAATTTTCATGTATTTGCACAGTTTTCAAATTTCCTCTTGTTATTGAATTTTAGTTTTAGTAAACTGTGGTCAGAGAAGATACTTGATATGACTTCACTTTAAAAAAATTTTCAAGACTTGTTTTGTTAATATAACGTATGGTTTATCCTTGAGAATGAGCCATATGCAAAGAAGAAGAATGTGTATTCTTCAGCCATTGGATTAAATGCTCTGCAAGTATCTATTAGATACATTTGGTCCATAGTTAAGATTAAGTCTGATATTTCTTTGTTGATTTTCTGTCTGCATAATCTGTTCCTTGCTGAAAGTGGGGTATTAGTCTCCATCTTTTATTGTATTAGAGTCTATCTCTCTCTTTTGCTCTAATAAGCACTATCATATCTCTGGGTGCTCCAGTGTTGAGTGTATATATATTTGCAATTGTCATATTATCTTGCTGAATTGACCCCTTATCATTATATACCTATCTTCTTTGTCTCTTTTTATAGTTTTTTTTTCTTGAAATCTATTTTTCTGATATAAGTATAGTTACTCCTACTCTTTTTTTTTACTCTTTTTACTTTTTTTTTTTTTTGGTTTCTATTTGCATGGAATATCTTTTTGCATCTTTTTAATTTTGAGTTTAGGTGTCTTTCTAGGTGAAGCATATTTCTTATAGGAAACAGATCACTGAGTCTTGTTTTTTAATCTATTCTGCTATTCTACGTCATTTGATGGAGAGTGTAGTTTATTTACATTCAATGCTATTATTGATAAGTAAGGACTCACCCTAGCCATTTTGTTATTTACTTTTTGATTGTTTTGTGGTCTTTTCTTTCTTTCTTCCTGCCTGTATTCCTTTTTGAGAAAGTAACTTTCTCTGGTTATGTGTTTTAATTTCTTACTTGTTTATTTTTTTGTGTAGCTGTTGTAGGTTTTTGGTTTCTGGTTACCATAACACTTGCAAATAACATCATATAACCCATCATTTTAAACTGTTGACAAGTTAACACTGATTGTAAAAAGAAACAAACCAACAAACAAGCAAAAAATAAAATGCTACTCTTTAGATTCATTCCCAATTTTAACTTTTTGTTGTTTCTACTTATATCTTATTATACTGTCTATTCTTTGAAAAGTTGCTGTAGTTATTATTCTTGATAGGTCCATCTTTTAGTCTTTTTACTCAAGATACGAGTGATTTTCACAGCAGAATTATAGTGTTATAATATTCTGAGTATCTGTGTGCTTACTATTACCAGTGATTATTTTACCTTAAGATCACTTATTATTTCTTAATGTCCTCTATTTTTTTTTTTAAACTGAGGAACTCCCTTTAGCATTTCTTGTAGGACAAGTCTGGTATTGATGAATACCTCAGTTTTTGTTTGTATGGGTAAGTATTTTTCCTTCATGTTTGAAGGATATTTTCACAGGATAAATATTCTAAAATAGAAGTTTATTCCTTCAGCCCTTTAAATATGTGATATTCTTTTCTGGCTTGTAAGGTTTCCACTGAAAAGTCTGCTGTGAGATGTATTGGAGCCTCTTTGTATGTTGTTTCTTTATCTTGTTGCTTTTAGGATCCTTTCTTTATCCTTGGCCTTTGGGAATTTGATCATTCAATGTCTCGAAGTAGTTTTATGTAGGTTAAATCTGCTTGGTGTTCTCTAACCTTCTTGTACTTGAATATCAGTATCTTTCTCTAGATTTGGAAAGTTCCCTGTTATTATTCCTTTGAATACATGTTTTACCCTGATGTTTCTCTCTACTTCCACTTTAAGACAAACAACTCTTAGATTTTCCCCTTTGAGATTATTTTCTAGATTTTGTAGGTATGGTTCTATATTTGGTCTATTTTGCAAAGGCATAAATACCTGAGACTGGGTAGTTTATAAAGAAAAGAGGTTTAACTGGCTAATAATTCTGCTGGCTTTACAGGAAGCATGATGCTAGGATCTTCTCAGCTTCTAGGGGGGCCTCAGGAAGATTACAATCATGGTGAAAGGTAAAGTGGAAGCAGGCACATCACATGATGAAAGCAGGAGCAAGTAAGAGAGAGTGAGAGACGGTAGGTGCCACACACTTTTAAATGACCAAATCTTGCAAAAACTCAGTCTCACGAAGATAGCACTTAGCCACGAGAGATCCTCCCCCATGATCCAAACACCTACCACTTGGCCCCATCTGCAATATTGGGGATTGCAATTCAACATGAGATTTGGACAGGGACAACTATCCAAACTATGTCACCTTTGTATTCTTAAATTCTTTTTTCTTTTTTCTCCTTTGAATGTGCATCTTCAAATAGCCTGCCTTCAAGCTCACTAATTCTTTCTTCTGCTTGATCAATTCTGCTGTTGAGAGGCTCTGATGAATTCTTCGATTTGCCAATTAAACTTTTCAGCTCCAGGATTTCTGCTTGACTTTTAAAAATTATTTCAATTTCCTTGTTAAATGTATCTAAGATACTTATTAATACTTCCTTTTCTGTGTTTCCTTGAATTTCATTGAGCTTTATCAAAAAAGCCATTTTGAATTCTCTGTTGGAAAGGTCACATATTTCTGTAACTCCAGGATTGGTCACTGGTGCCCTAGTTAGTTTGGTGAGTTCATGTTTTCCTGGATGGTCTTGATGCTTGTAGATGTTTATCAATGTCTGGGCAACCGAGAGTTAGATATTTATTGTAGTCTTTGCAGTCTGTGCTTGTTTGTATCTGCCCTTCTTGGGAAGGCTTTTCAAGTATTTAAAGGGAATTGAGTGTTCTGCTCTAAGTCTTCTGTCACTGCAGCCATGTCTGTCTACATTAGGGGGCATCCCAAGCCCAGTAACACTATGAATCTTGTAGATTCATAGAGGTACCACCTTGGTAGTCTTAGGTAAAATCTGAGAAAATTCTCTAGATTAACAGGCCGAGACTCTTACTCACTTTCCTTATTTCTCCCCAGTTGAATGAGCCTCTCTCTTTGTGCTGAGCTGCCTGGAGCTGGGGAGAGGTGATACAAGCACTCCTGTGGCCATCACACGGGTACTGTGCTGGGTCTGACCTAAAGCCAGTACAGCACTAGGGGGTCTTGCCCAAGGTCTGTGACTCCACAGCCTTGTTACCACCAATGTTCACTCAAAGACCAAGGGCTCCTCCATCAGCAGGTGATAAACCCAGTCAGGCTTGTGTCACTCCTTTCAGGAAAGGGAGCTCGCCCTAGGCCGAGGATGGGACCAGAGATGCCATCTGGGAGATAAGGCCCAGTTTCAGGAACCTGAGGAATCTACTTTGTGCCCTTTTCTACTGTGGCTGAGTTAGCACCCAAGTCATGGGACAAAGTTCTTCCCACACTTACCTCACCTTTCCTCAAGCAGAAAGAGTCTCTCCCCATGGCCACTAGGGAAAAAGTGAGTACTGCCTGGCTACCACTGATGTTCACCCAGTGCTCAAGGGTTCTTCAGTAAGCCTGTGGTAAATGATGCCAGGCCTAGGTCCCTACTTTCAGGGAAGTCGGCTCCCCTCTGGCCCTGGGTGGGTTCAGAAATGCCCTCCAGGAGCCAAAGCCTAGAATAAGAGACTCCAGGAACCCACTTCTTGCTTTAACCCCCTG